AGTTGTCTTTATATCTGGGGTTTAGATTTAAAGTAGAAATCTGTGGAAAAAATGTTTGCCTGTGCAGTGGGGCTGTGTCCGCACTGCACGGGTTAAATGTTCGTTTTGTTATAGGTGAGAGGACACCACAGATATATTCACCTGACCAGCCAATCCTGCCTGCACAAGACCGGTCCGGCTCCTCCCTGCAACCCTTACCACCCCCCCCTCCCGGGTCCAGCGGTCTTGGACTGGTAAATAGAGTGCGTTCTTCACAGACAGGAACAGTCCACTGCTGGACTGTGGGGGAGCGCAGTTTTCTGTAGGATCGCTGGGTCAGGTGAGTATGAGCTTATTCCTCATCCCTAGAAAAAATAAGCAGCTGATCCATGCAGTGGGGGCACAGCCCCAATGCATGGTAAAAAGAAAACTGGAGTTCTTCTTTAAAGTCATTATCATGGTTCTTCTCAGCATATGTGAATTTTTAATGCAGCGCAGCTCACTGCACTCTTGTTTTGTTGGCCCATAGAGGTGAGTGAAATATTATCTTTCAATAATGTTTAAGCCCGGGTTCACATATGTGCGGTGCGGTATATCGCATGTGATGCCTCACCGCACGGCATTCCTGTGCAAATCACATGCTATTTGTGTGCGGTGCGATTGGAGCCATACATTTTGTGTGGCTCTATTCGCACCGCACCCGCACCAAAAACGTGCAGGACCCTTTTTTGGGTCCGCACTAGACTCGGATCGCATTCACACCTATGCGATCCGATTCTGCACATTGCACCGAGTTTTGCGGACCGCTTTCGGGGTGTTGTTAACTTAACATACACACCCGCAGCGGTTCACATGAACGGGGTGTGAATCTGATGCGATGTGGAATTCACACTGAGAACGCTGCAAATTCCGCACTGCATCAGTGTGAACCAGGGCTAAAAAAAGTAAAAAAAAAAACTGTGCAATACATTGTAACAACACACTGCACCGACTCATACATAACACATACCAGCGGGGACACTTTACATGGAGCATAAGGCATCTTAGCCAGTGTGAACGAGCCCTAAGGGCAAGAGTGCTTCATTTTTGAATGTTGACTTTTCCTGCCGAAATGTCATCAATCTGATGATTGGTTGTACACTGTTCAGCACAGCCACATCCCCTCTCAGAGTTCCATCCAAAGACTTCAGGCAACCTTCACCCTCAATAAAAAAAGAAGAAAACAACCAAACTAGCCCACATTTCTAACCTTCTCATGTAATCTAATTGAAATTAAAAGAAAATTGTTAGGGAGAAAATGGTGTGCTATGGTGGCAAAACAACAAGGGTTTTTCTGCGTTTTTTTCAGCAGCCTATGAACTCTCCCTAATGTTTTCCTATGTGTCCATGTACACTATGTCGTTTACAGTCGTTTACAGGCAGTTGAGTTTACAGTCGTTTTTTTTAACGCACCAAACTTGCGTTCAGTAAATTTTTTTTAACTCTTCCATTTCCAGATGCTGTCCAGAGCCTTTTTTCATCATGAAAAATGCATGCAAAGCATTTTCTCGGTACTCAAATGGACCTGATACACCATACTTTGAGGTTTTGCATGAAAGAAAATATGTTAGACACTACTGCAATAATTTCTGCACAGAAATGAGCTGGAACACATCCAAACACCACAAAAAAAAAAGACAGCTAATCTCAACAAATACTGCTTTCTCTCTGCTTCTGCTCTCTATATTTCTTTCAAAATGTCTGAAATAGTTAATTTTTTTACTTTTTTTCAGTGCATTCTGGGCATTTTGGAAGGTCATAAACGCTCATAAACACGCATACATGCAGTAAACAAATGCGGCTAAACTGACATTTTTTAACTTACGTTTTCCAGCAGTCAGTTTCCATCGTTCTGAAGTGTTTTCCAAACGTCCCGTGGACATGGAGCCTAAGTGGTTAAATCTGTCAGTGTAGCTTCAGATTGAAATTGCACGTGTAGCCCTGGCCACACATGGGTGGATTTTCAAACGTTTTTTCGTTTGAAAATCGGACCTAAGAATAATCAGCCGATTTTCGCTCTGTTAGTGGGGCAATGGCCGATTTTCGTGGTTCCTCCCCATTTCGTTTATCGGGCATGCTGGAAAATTCATGAAAAACGACTGATTTTTGAAATCATTGCCAGCACCATCGAATTACAAATAAATATATCGGTATACTACTAGGTGATCTCGGCCTGGGGATCAGACAATACCTGTCTGAGAGAGATGAAAGATGTTGTTCTCCATTGATCTTGGACAATAATATACAGTGAGAAGAGTCCCCCTTTTCTAATGCGTACGGATCTTGTCATCTGTTAAGGTGCATAAGATAAGAGTTGGCAGTCAATGTGCACACTAGCACTGGGTATTTGTTAAGAGGGGAGCATGAGCAGAGTGAAAGTATTTTTGTGATACAACAATATATGCTAGAGGCGTATTTACCACAAGGCAAACAAGGCATTTGCCTAGGGCGGCAATTTTAGGGGGGCAGCACTGCCCCCTGGAAGAAGGGACATATGCGGCATAGGGACCAGGGGGACCAGAGAGCTGCAGGCTGCTTGATGGTATATGCAGAGCCTGATTGTCCTGGGGATATCCAGAGCTGTGAAGGTGTCAGGCTCTCTCCGCTGGGGGGTGTCACGATCGCGATGTCAGACCCCAGCCCTTCTCACCAAACCCGTGTCCGAAGGACAAGCCGATCTAAAACCGCGATGTCACATGCGTAACAATGCCACACCCATCTGCACCCTGCACAACGATTTTCCAGCTAATTAGACCACAATCGATGTACCGGCAGCCTGGAAGAGATTGTTACTGGGTCAGGTTAATTACGCAATTAACCCTTTACACTGCCACCACCTCCTTTTTGTACAGAGAAAGAGGAAACTCAGCGATATCAGTTATAACACTATAATTGTTGAGGTAATCGTCTGTATAACACGGTTATACAGAGGGTTAAACAAACACAGTAGCGTTCTCTTTAGAGGCAGGAATTCGTAAATTGCAATAAAGCGCTATAGAAACAGTTCAACACTTTCAGAAGGAAAGATTTATTACTAAAAGGTCAAACGGGTCAATAAAAATATTTACAGAAAGGATGTACCTAAGATATATATATAAATATACAGAGACTAAGAGCACAGCAAAGAGATATCAGAGAGAGGTGAAAGGGTTAAGGTACTAGCCAAAGTCCTGGGTTAGCAGACCCAAAATTCAGAGCGAAAGGGCACGGGTCTCCCCAGGTGGTACTGATGTTAAAATGGGAGACATCTTCAACTTCTTTTCTTAGGCCTGACAGCCTAATTTATAGTTCCCCAGCAGGGGGTGTCTCTGAAGTCAAGAACCAATACCCCGTTTAGGGCATGGACCTAAACTAGAGCCAAAATCTTGTGTAGTTCATATTTTGGCTCATAACTTTTCCTATGCACAAGTGACATTCCACCTGCGGGTAGATTATTATGCAGACACGTCTGAGGATTGATTAGATATGAATTATGAAATTATACACTGAACGGTTCACAAGATCTATTTTTTGGCTTTCCTATGTATTCGAGACAAGGCGAGTGACCCCTCAAATTGTTCGACTTCTCTTAGCCAATCTGACGATATGTCTGGTTTTTATGTAAGTCTCTCATTGTCCAAGATATGAGACATAGGGGAAAAATGGATTTTGAATGAAATTCCTGCCTTCCTTGGAATGTCTTGAACTCTGGGGAAAGCTTGCCTTATCTTATACGAGGTGTTACATTTTACAGGTTCTTCGGACAGCTAGGCCTTAGCTCCCTTGGGGACATTATAGCTCCTAGCCCCCTGCTGGGCCCTGGCCTCCTGTGACACTCCTAACACACATACACACTGCCAAATTTCAGGAATGGACTGGCCAGCAATGGTGGACTCACCTGCCTTTTGATCTGCAGTACCAGGGCTGGCCAGCGGATGCTCCCAGCAATCAGAGACTCAACTTTGCAGCCAGCTAACACCTGGAACTGATTATGCTGGGGTATTTTAAGGGATGGCCAGACCCACAGACTCTGCCTTGGTGTTGTGTTTGTCCTGGGCCCTGTATCCTGTTTCTGTCCTGCATCCTGTATCTGTATCCTGTTTCTGTCCTGCATCCTGTTTCTGAACCGCTGCTGACTTCTCCTGCTCTGATCCCGGCTCGCTCCTGACCATCCCTCTGCCTCACCCTCTGTACCACGCTGCTTGCTACCTGTTCTGATCCCTGGCTTGTGACCCTGACCATCCCTCTGCCTGATCCTCTGTACTACGCTGCTTGCTACCTGCTGAACCTGGCCTGTGACCCCGACCAATCTCCGCTTGCTCCCCTGTACCTACCTGCCCTATTGATATTGACCCGGCCTGCCTGACGACGCTTGCTTGTATGTACTGTTATCTGTGGGTGGTTGGTTTGGTTTGTTTGCACTGTATTATGTTTTAGTATTGCACTGCGTTTATGTTTGTATTGTTAGTGTTAATAAATTATATTGTTTATAACATATCTGAAGTCTGCGTTTCCCTGCGTCAGCCACACACCTCTGGTCACACCTGGGAGCCCTGACATTACACCAAGGCCAATCCTGACCAGAAGTGGCTGCACAGGGAAGCCATCTTGGCTTGTTGCTGGGAAGGATGGATCTGGATGAGGTTGTGTATTTATATCTGCTAGTGTTTGATGACAGGGAGTATGCTTATCAAACTCTGAAGGAGTATCCCCGGGATCAACTACTAGAATGTATACGGCTCGCTCATGTTCTAGTAGATCAGGGCACAGAGTTCTCTGAGGTGCAGCCTTTGATTGAGGTTTGTGCTGAGTTGGTTTCACCTGGTTCCCCGAATGCAGGGATGAATTTTTGCCACCATTTAGTGCAGACCAGGTAGAGTCCCTGGTGTGGTTATTAGAGGATGATGTGGGTTACTTTCTGGAGCGTTATTCCACATGTTCACCACAGACACTAAGAGATTGTATAAACGCAGTGCAGTCATTGACCAGACAGGCTTTGTGTAAGCTCAGCTTTGTTCAACCCATACTGCAGACATGGACAGACTTGTTGCACCCAGCCTCAGTCAGCTTACAAAAACCCAGTCCTGCTTCTAATCTATTTCCTCAAAACTCTATTCCTGCATTCCCAACAGCTCCTCCTGCCCTGCTATCTACCGCATGTCAGTACCCTGTTCCCACTCGCTGCACCTATCCTGCCTTTAACCCTGTAAAAAAGCCCTCTGTAGCAACTGCTCCCTCTCCTGTTCCATCCTCCAGTTCTTCTCTGTCTCCAGCTGCTCCATTCGTTTGCAGACCTGCGTTTACTTGCAGTGCTCCAGTAGTTAAAACCAGAAAAAAGCGAAAATTCTTTCCAACCAATACCATCCTGCCAGTATCCAAACCGGTGAACCTGCCTTCCGTGACTCAGCCTGAAGCCTCTACTCGGCCTGAAGCCTCTACTCGGCCTGAAGCCTCTACTCGGCCTGATGCCTCTACTCAGCCTGATGCCTGCATTCAGCTGATGCCGCTACTCAGCATGATGAACTGATCCAGCCCGACGATCCTATTAGGCCAGTTGACTTGATGCCCGCTGTTGATCCAGATGATCCGGTACCTGATCCAGTGCCCGCTGTCGTGCCAATTGACTCAGAGTTCGCTGTCATACCTGGTGACCCGGTGCCCACTGCCTTGCCAGATGACGCGGTGCCCGCTGGCAAGCCAAATGACCTGATGCCTGGTGACCCAGTGCCCGCGCTGTCATACCTGGTGACCCGATGCCCGCTGTCGAGCCAGACAATCCGATACCTGATGACCCGGTGCCCACTGTCGTGCCTGTTGACTCGGAGCCCACTGTCATGCCAGACGACTCGGTGCCCGCTGTTCCGCCAGTCGACTCGGTGCCCGCTGTTCCGCCAGTCGACTCGGTGCCCGCAGTCTTGCCAGACGACTCGGTGCCCGCAGTCCCGCCAGTTGACTCGGTGCCCGCAGTCCCGCCAGTTGACTCGGTGCCCGCAGTCCCGCCAGTTGACTCGATGCCCGCAGTCCCGGCAGTTGACTCGATGCCCGCTGTTTGCCAGACGACTCGGTGCCCGCAGTCTTGCCAGACGACTCGGTGCCCGCAGTCTTGCCAGACGACTCGGTGCCCGCAGTCTTGCCAGACGACTCGGTGCCTGCAGTCCCGCCAGACGACTCGATGCCCACAGTCCCGGCAGTTGACTCGATGCCCGCTGTTCCGCCAGACGACTCGGTGCCCGCAGTCTTGCCAGACGACTCGGTGCCCCGCAGTCTTGCCAGACTACTCGATGCCCGCTGTTCCGCCAGTTGACTCGGTGTGCCCTCAGTCTTGCCAAACGACTCGGTGTCCACTGTCGTGCCTGGTGACTCGGTGCCCGCCGCTTCGCCTGGGGGCCCGAGACCTGTTGCTCCGCCTGAGGGCCCGAGACCTGTCGCTCCATCTGGGGGTCCGGCGCCCGCCGCTCCGCCTGAGGGCCCGAGACCTGTCGCTCCATCTGGGGGTCCGGCGCCCCGCCGCTCCGCCTGAGGGCCCGAGACCTGTTGCTCCATCTTCCGGCGCCCGCCCGCTCCGCCTGAGGCCCAAGACCTGTAGCCCCCCGCCCGGGGCCCGGCGCCCGCCGCTCCGCCTGGGGGCCCGATGCCTGTCGCCCCGCCTGGGGGCCCGATTCCCTGACGCTCCGCCTGGGGGTCCGAGACCTGTCGCTCCGTCTGGGGGTCCGGCGCCCGCGCTCCGCCTGAGGGCCCGAGACCTGTCGCTCCGTCTGGGGGTCCGGCGCCCGCCCTCTCCGCCTGAGGGCCCGAGACCTGTAGTTCCGCCTGGGGGTCCGGCGCCCGCCGCCCCGCCTGGGGGCCCGAGGCCTGTCCCCGCCCGGGGGCCCGAGGCCTGTCGCCCGCCTGGGGGCCCGAGGCCTGTCGCCCGCCTGGGGGTCCCGGTGCCTGTCCGCCCCTCCCCTGGGGCCCGAGACCTGTCGCCCATGTCGCGCCCGCCGCTCCACCTGGGGGCCCGAGGCCTGTCCCCCCGCCTGGGGGCCCGATGCCTGTCGCCCCGCCTGGGGGCCCGAGACCTGTTGCCGCCTGGGGGTCCGGCGCCCGCCGCTGGGGGCCCGAGTGCCTGTCCGCCCCGCCTGGGGTCGCCCCGCCTGGGGGCCGAGGCCTGTCGCCCCCCGCCTGGGGGCCCGATGCCTGTCGCCCCGCCTGGGGGCCCGAGGCCTGTCGCTCCGCCTGGGGGTCCGAGACCTGTCGCTCCGTCTGGGGGTCCCGCCCGCCGCTCCGCCTGAGGGCCCGAGACCTGTCGCTCCGTCTGGGGGCCGGCGCCCGCCTCTCCGCCTGAGGGCCCGAGACCTGTAGTTCCGCCTGGGGGTCCGGCGCCCGCCGCTCCGCCTGGGGGCCCGAGGCTTGTCGCCCCGCCTGGGGGCCCGAGGCCTGTCGCCCCGCCTGGGGGCCCGAGGCCTGTTGCCCCCCTGCCCCGGGGGCCAGGGTGCCTGCCGCCCCGCCCGGGGGCCCGGTGCCTGCCGCTCCGCCTGGGGCCGCCGCTCCGCCTGGTGCCCCGCTGCCCTGCCGCTTCCCTGGTAGCCCGATGTGCCTCTGCCCGGAGTCCTGCCCGATGTGCCTCTGCCCGGAGTCCAGCCCGATGTGCCTCTGCCCGGTGTGCCTGTGCCTCTGTCCAGCCCGATGTGCCTCTGCCCGGTGTGCCTCTGCCCGGAGTCCAGCCCGGATGTGCCTCTGCCCGGAGTCCAGCCCGGTGTGCCTCTGCCCGGAGTCCAGCCCGGAGTCCAGCCCGGTGTGCCTCTGCCCGGAGTCCAGCCCGGTGTGCCTCTGCTGCCCGGTGTGCCTCTGCCGGTGTACCGCTGCCCGGAGTCCTGCCCGGTGTGCCAGTCTTTGATATCCCGCCAGTTACCAGACCCGGGCGGTGGAACATTTTTCCCAGCTAGGACTGTTTGGAGCGTCCTGAGGCCGCTCCTTGAGGGGGGGGTACTGTCAGGAATGGACTGGCCAGCAATGGTGGGACTCACCTGCCTTTTGATCTGCAGTACCAGGGCTGGCCAGCGGATGCTCCCAGCAATCAGAGACTCAACTTTGCAGCCAGCTAACACCTGGAACTGATTATGCTGGGGTATTTAAGGGATGGCCAGACCCACAGACTCTGCCTTGGTGTTGTGTTTGTCCTGGGCCCTGTATCCTGTTTCTGTCCTGCATCCTGTTTCTGAACGCTGCTGACTTCTCCTGCTCTGATCCCGGCTCGCTCCTGACCATCCCTCTGCCTCACCCTCTGTACCACACTGCTTGCTACCTGTTCTGATCCCTGGCTTGTGACCCTGACCATCCCTCTGCCTGACCCTCTGTACTACGCTGCTTGCTACCTGCTGAACCTGGCCTGTGACCCCGACCAATCTCCGCTTGCTCTCCCTGTACCTACCTGCCCTATTGATATTGACCCGGCCTGCCTGACGACGCTTGCTTGTATGTACTGTTATCTGTGGGTGGTTGGTTTGGTTTGTTTGCACTGTATTATGTTTTAGTATTGCACTGCGTTTATGTTTGTATTGTTAGTGTTAATAAATTATATTGTTTATAACATATCTGAGGTCTGCGTTTCCCTGCGTCAGCCACACACCTCTGGTCACACCTGGGAGCCCTGACACAAATGTCCCTGTGACTCTCAGAAAGGGAGGGGGAGAATGAGGGGGAAATATGTTTGTCAGAATGGTTAACCCCTTTGCCAAGATGGAGGGTTCTTAACAAAATGGAGGACTGCGTCAGTCTCTGGATATACGCTATTACAGGGGGCATCTGATTTTTGTGTTTTGCGTGGCAGCACAAGACCTAAATACACCACTGATATATGCGATTCCTTTGGAGGTATATTTCCTATGCGATGGCAGACGGATTTAGGAACCTAACCACAAAGGAAGATTGTGTGGAAGCTTTTTTTGATTTACAAGAGGGTAAGAGTAAGGATGACAGATTGTTAAAGGTGAACACACGGTGGAGTAGATTTTTGCATGCATTGGCACAATTTTTGTAAATGCGTTTTGCTATGTTGAATATCATGCGTTGTAGATAATGCATTATATGCGATTTATATTTTTTTTGAGGGCACTAAGAGGAGGAAGAGGATTCTTTGGCACTTGTGGAAGAAGAATATTCACTAAGAAGATATTAGTACCACTGGTTATTTTATACACAGAGACCTTTCAGCCCCAAATGCAATCACTGTCCAAATCATGTAGACTTTACCTCCGCAACATCACCAGGATTTTTGACCTCAGAAACCACTAAGCAACTTATTCACTCCCTTGTTATCTCTCGTCTTGACTATTGTAACTCCCTACTCATCGGCCTACCTCATCGCAGACCTCCTCTTCAGTCTATCATGAATGCTGCTGCCAGACTCATCCACCTTACTAACCGCTCCGTATCTGCCACCCCTCTCTGCCAATCCCTCCACTGGCTTCCCATTGCCCAACGGATAAAATTCAAAACATTAACAATAACAAATAAAGCCATTTATAAATCTGCCCCAAATTACATCAACAATCTTGTCTCCAAATATCACCAAAACCGTACTCTCTGCCCCTCGCACAACCTCCTGCTCTCTAGCTCCCTTGTCTCCTCCTCCCATGCTCGTTTCCAGGACTTCTCCAGAGCTTCCCCCATCCTCTGGAACGCTCTACCTCAATTTATCAGACTATCGCCTACTCTGCTCACTTTTAGGCGACCTCTGAAAACCTATCTCTTCAGGGAAGCCTATCCTACCCTCAGCTAATAATGGAATCTTCTACTCTTCAAACCAGTCCATCCCCCACAGTTACTACCTTTTGTACCACTAGCCCCTCCATCTTAGATTGTAAGCTCCAAGGAGCAGGGCCCTCCTTACCCTCTTGTATTGAACTGTATTGTTGCTGTATTGTCTCCCTTTATACTGTAAAGCGCTGAGCAAACTGTTGACGCTTATAAATCCTGTATAATAATAATAAAAGTTGGACCATCAGATTACAGAACGAACAATGTTTTCGTAAGATCATTCAGAAACAATTGAGTACTGATGTGATACTTTTTTTATTTGTACTAACATACAATTTTGAAGACAAGCTTTCAGGGTATGTCCCCTTCTTCAAGGTCCAGGTCAATACGGCTGCAATCATCTCACGTAAGATCATTCGGAATTTCGACCCATGTATGACCTGCTTTAGTTTATACCTGTGACAGACAGGTACAGGAACATGCCTTTGTCACTGGTGCAGCAACCAGACCCTCAATCCATAACCACTAGCATGCAATAATGCTTTGTAGACATTGGATGCTACACAATGATGTACAAAGGTAGAAGCATTATGGAATTATTAGCATATGGGTGCCAATACACTGCCCGAGGGTCCAGGGTCAGTAGGGGGCCCCATGAGATGCCCCTGGTACCTTTTTCATAGGCTTTTTTGAGTTTGGGCAAGGACACAGGGGCCCCATGATCCCCTATTGCCCGGGGGCCCCTTGAGTTGTCAGTCCGCCCCTGGCCCCATCCCATCTGCATAAGCAGTCCACATGCAAATGTATTGAGTTTGTGTTTCCAATTAAAGAGCAGTGCAAACACCATGCATTGTAACTGCAGAATAAAACTGTCTTGTACATAACCTGAAACCATTTCCCTATAAACCATAACTTAGCCATGTAATTAGGATTAAGGAAAAGTCACCTATTGCAGCAGTTACTGGGCAGCATTTAGTGATGGGCACTGGGCTGGAACTAATATTTATTGCTAATTGCAGGGTATCGGGTCACTGTGACAGATTGGGTCTGTCTGCGAGAATTTATCAAGGCTGGATGCATTTATCTGTGCGACCTGCTGCCATCTGTCAATCCACGTGTGCTAGGGCCTCCAGCAATGACTGGGTTAACAAGATTAACACCACTGAAATAACAGTAGTAGTCAGTGAGGGAGAGGCATGCCTGGGATTCCACTGTCTGGGCTCTGGTCATTAATTGTGTAGTG